AGGCAGCATGACAACTGGGATCGATACCGTCGGCGCTCAAACTCAAGTAGCCGCGACGGTCACCTTCATGGTTGCCGTCGTCATTTGAGCAGATCACTCAGGGACGGCGGAATCTTTTCTGGGAGCAATGCCCACGACATCCGCGAACTACACTCACCGACTCTGCCTTTTCGGACTTGAAGAGCATTGTTGAAATCGAAGCGAGTTTGGCCTGCGCTCGCTCACACATCAGTACGACCTCACCCATGCATGCCCCAAATCATGCTTGGATTCGGATTCGGCTGCCAACGACAACATCCCACGCGATTTTGCATTTGTCAATTGCTCGAGCTGCTCCATTCCGAGCCGATCCATGACAATACTTGGTGCCTCGTTTCATCTCGCACAAGATGACGAGGAGCATCATGTGCAAAGTGGTACATTTGCAAGTGTTGGACTTGAAGCGTGCAAGGCAAAGGCAGGCGAGTTGGCGTGAATTCGTTGGGCGTGGTCAAGCCTGTGGCTGCAAGATTGCACGACGAGCCAGAGTGAGATCCAGCATTGCAAAACCGCGATTCGAATGGGTTGAGTGGCGATAGAACGGCAGGGACATGCAGTAAGAGGGGGTCCGATTCGGCGGGTCGGGGTGCGGCGGTGGAAAAATACTGCTGTTGGGTGACGACGCAAGGCTGTTTTATGATGGTATGATGTGTGATATGTGTGCCGCCACTCGGCGCATGTTTTCACTCGCAATCCAAAGTGATATGCGATCTGCCCAGTCGGTGCAATGTGCGATGGCAGTGCAATGTAAGCGGAAATGAGTTCCTTCCCATGACCTCAAATCCGACGTGCCCGTCCAACTTGCCGAACAAACACACACTTGCGTTTGCCAACTTTGCTGCTGCCACTGCCAGGTGCTCAAGGCTGCGGTCCAGTCGTTATGTCAACACGTCAACACGATTAACGTTATAAATATTGGCCTCTTGCCCCTATTCAGGTTTCACGGGGCATCAAGTTCACTTTCTGAGACTCAAAGCAAGTTCCACCTTCAGTCTTTCTTGCTTCTGTCACTGGCTCTTGACAGACGTGTAGGTGCGTGTTGCTCTGATTCGCATTGCGCTCCATTCCGCCATTATCGTAACCCCCTTTCCTCGACACTCAGAGTTTGTCAACCGCCGCTACCATGGACTCTGCTCTCATCCCAACCGGGCACGCCAGGTCTTTCTTCTCACTGCCCTGCTGGCCTTGCCCGAGGTTGTCTCGCGCACGAACAATCACAAGCAAACTCTCCACTTCCTGGCGCTTTCGTTCCACTCCCTTTTCGAGCTCATTCGACAGCGCCGCCAAGTCGTCTACGGAACCGTGGAGCTCGCTGCTGTTGACCGCATTGCTCTGGCCATCCCAACAACCAACATTCAAGGCACGGATCACTTGTACATTGAGCGCAATCGAATGCTGGATCCTTCCCTCGTCGTGCCAGCAAGTCAGGTTCCGCCAAACCGCCCGAATCAAGACAGTTACGAGTATGGCGCGCGTATTCAAATGCTCAACGAGTACTTGCGGACCGTGATCGAAAACCACAACACGAACCCAACCACTGGCCGTCCTTACTGCCCCATGCCAGAGCGTGCCCTTGGATGGCTCGACGAGTCACGCCAGCTTCTCGATGCCGTGGTTGACATGCGGTGGGAGTACATGGTCTCGAACAACTTGACGGAAGACCGGACTCACATTCGCATGCGCGGCATCTTTGCTACCTTGAGGGACACGGTTCGTGACCTCCACGCGTTCGTCAACTCTATCGTGTTTGGATTGCCGCCGCCACGGGCAAACGCACCGCACAGCGGTCCGGCCCATGAGCACGACGAGCTCTAGTTGTAGGTCATTCCGCCTTGCCTGTTCCACCTTATGCCGGACGTGAGACGAAGGTGTGTTTGGTGATTTGTCATTCCGTTCCCATTGAAGTTGAGGGATTTGTGTGGTTGCTCATGCATTGTGTTCAGTACCTACTCATACCCCTGTTCATCCGCGCATGCACTGATCCATGTGCAGGTGCGGGAGTTTCTTGTCATGCTCGTATCATGGAATTGAATCATGCCAGTCTCCCACCTTTGGCGACACAAAGTCCACTACCACTCCACAAGTCATGGTTTGTGATTTGAGAAATTTGAGAAAGGAGTTGGGCTTTCAGTTTGACTGTCACAAATTAGGTTGGTAAATATGAAGCGCGCATTTGGGAACGAGAGATCTCATGGAGAAATGAAGAGCAAGCGATGAGGTGGTGCAGCAGCATTGGATTAATGAGTCAGTTTGTGTACACCTCTGAATCGCGTTGCAGCACGTTGCAAGGGCAATAGTTCCCAAGGTATCGCAACACCTGCATAAGGTGCCCGAAGTTGGGACTTTTTGCCTGGCCGCTCGTGAATAAATCCGTAAGCTGGCCGCCCAGACAGCCTCCTCCGGGACGACTGACCTTGGCCTAACCAAACTGGCAGCGCATCCAGCTTACCTGTCAAACATCATCATTCTCTCCGAAGCAATGTACATATTCTTCCTGACTTCACCCACATGAGCTGTCGTTCCCAGTCCTGTACATTCATCCGTGCCACTGTCATCATGTCTCGATCGACGCGTGTGAGACAGAGTCTCTCACTTTTTCATGCTCACCTGATATAAAGACTGTACATATCAAGTAGAACACCTACTCGCGTCGTCATGGGCAACCACTTTTCACTCTCGTCGGTCAAGAGCGAGTCGGCCAAGGAGTTTACCCTGACGGACACGGAAAACAACACATCGTTTACCCTCCAGCCCGGCCAGGTGCACAGCTCGACTCTTCGTGTCCCGTGGATGACGGAGTAATGGCCATCTCAAGATCGAACACTACCAGACGTGGATCTTGTACGAAACGGAAAACAAGCTCAAGTACCATTCGCCCGGAGGAATTGTTGTTGAAGCGCTGTCTCGACCCGGCTCTGATGCACAGTCTGCCGTTCTTACCATGTACGATACTGGACCGTCCATTACCAAGACTTGATTTGTTCCACGTTTTGTATCGCCAATCGAGTGCTTTGACGGCGTGCTCGTCTTTCTCACGCGCAGTTGGGTGTTTGCCCGAGTGTTTGTATTCGTCTGTGTTGTATTGGCTTTGTGTATAACATGTACCAACATACATCGAGGGAAACAGTACATATGCTGTCAGGTTATTCCTCAAATTGTCTCAGGGTCGGCGATTGACTGCGCTCACTCCAGTCGGTCAGCGTCCAACTTAACGAATGGATCACATGCTAGTACAGTTTGTGAGTTCAAAGTTGATTCCAGGCTAGGATTCAGGCAGTCGATGTTGCTCACTCCAACCAAGCAAGTCAATGCATCTTCACTCAACGCAACGCATCCAGCCATGTCTGACCCGCTCCATCCGCAAATCTCCAAGCCAGCGCCGAAACCGGCCAGCAGCGGGCTCCTGGACCTCAAGACGGAACTGCTTCGTGCCCAATCCCAAGTCGTATCGTCCAGTTCATCATCCTCGCAATCCAAACTCAAACCCAAATCAAAAAAGCTCGACCCAAAGTTTATCCTGCCGCCATCATCCGACTCGACCTCTTCCTCCCGATCCACATCCAAAAAGCACAAGAAGCGTGATCGTCACCGTGACCGTGGCCGTAGCGACGACCGTGATACTCGCGGTCGTGACTCGAAACGCAGCAAGCGCAAATCCAAGAGTCCCGAACCGGACTGGGCACACATTCAAGCCTCACTTGCACACAAGTCTCAAGTGTACGACTCGCTCGTTGAATCTGGCGGCGGCGCAGAGCTCGAACTGGCACGTGCTCGTGGGGATGTGCCGGAAGCGTCGGCGCCGTTGATTGATTTTGTTGCCAAGCGATACGACCAGATTGTGGCCGAGGAGGCTGCGCGCAAGGAGCGGAAAAAGAATAAGCGAAGACGGAGGGATTCGAGCGATTCAAGCGGAAACGACAGGTCACGCTCACGCTCGCCAACGGAGCGGCATCGCAGGCGGCGCGACAAGAGGGATCGTTACCGTCTGCGCTCAAGCTCGCGCACTCGCAGTCGCAGCCGCAGCCGTCGTCGCCGTCGTCGCAGCTCATCACCTGATGAAACCATCTTTTCCGGCCGCAACTCGCGTGCCATCCGCGACCGATACATTTCAGACTCTGCGGCCTCGGACGCCGAAAGTATGGTTGAAATCGAAGACGAGTTTGGCCGCACACGACGAGTCCCGCGCTCGCTCGCTCATCAATATGATCCGACCCTCGCGCCTTCGGCTTCCGATTCCGATTCAGATGCCGATGATAACGTCTCGCGCTACTTTGCGTTCACACCCCTTCCCGAGTTGCCGCATTACGAGTCGACGCGCGAGGTACGCACGCTTGGTGCTGGGTTTTATCAGCTGGCGCAGGACACCGACGAGCGGCAGGCGCAGATGGAGCAGTTGAGGGCGTTGCGAGAAGAGACGCTTGCGGCGCGCAAGGCAAAGGCAGACGAGATGGGTGTGGATTCATTGGACGTGGTCAAGCCCGTGGTGGCGGGATTGCACAATGACCCAGAGTTGGATCCTGCGTTGCAAGTGGGCGATTCCGGTGAGATTGAAAAGGAGGCGGCGGGGCAAGGAAACGTGGTGCACGATGAAGGTAAGGAGCCGCTGGATGCACGGCTGATTCGACGGGTCAGGTTGGTCATGCGGCGGCGTATCAAGTTGTTGGGCGTGGACAAGGCAAGGCAGGTCGAGTGGACTGTGCCTGTACCAGAGTCGGTGTACGAGGACTTGTTTGTGACAATGGCGAATGAGCAGCCCTTGTGTGAGAAAATGGGAGATGATTGTGCAAGGATGAATGTGGACGAATAAATGCAAGTCGTATGCATTTTTCTGTTCAGTCCTTGGAACAAGTAGGCGCAGTCAGACAAATGACAGGTATCATTATCTACATGGTCAGGAATGGACCTTTGAACTGGGCTCGAACATCAAGAAAGATCCCAAAAAAGAACTCACATATCGAAAAGGGGAGAGCCGGGGGTCGAACCCGGGGCCTTTCGCACCCAAAGCGAACGCGCTACCACTGCGCCACACTCCCACATGTATATAGTGCTACATTCACCCCACACATTTGGTCAGATCGGAGATCGCAGGGCTCATGGCCGTCCTCTTGCTCAGATGAGTCTTGACGGCAGTCGTGGCAGATGGCGACCTTGACTGCGGCTGGCTGCAGGCTCTCTCGCCGTCCGTCGCTATCGACGTAACGCCTGTCTAATCAATTTCATCCATTTAATCCGGCCTTTCAACTACCGGTACCCTTGAATCCCAGCGTCGTTTGCGTCAGATCTGTTGTCCCAGCTCAACTTGAAAGCAGCCTGTCTTGGACTACTCTAGGGCCGTCCTGTATGGGTTCAGCGTGTTGGCTCATCGTTGGATATCGAGTCGCAAATGGAGAAAAAATATACTTTAAAAGAAAGCGGCATGAAAGAAATCTATACATGTACTTGCAGTTAAAAGCAGACCAAACGTCTACAACTCGACCTCAACGCCCTGCTCCTTCAACCCCTCCACCACTGCCCCGGCCCTCTGTCCCATGGGCGCCATTCCCTCGCCACTGAAATCCTGCCTGACGATCACCTCCTCTGCAAATTCGCCCTCGAGCTCGCAATTCTCGGGACATGTGTACACAAAATACGTGCCGAAATCATAACTGTCCGGATCGGCCAAATCCAGCGGCAAGTGCGCCAAGACAGTCGACAGCAACTGACACTCGAGCTCGCGCGGCGCGTGGCACCGCGGGCACGCGGGCACACTTGCGGCGTCGGGTTTGCCCACATCCGACACGTACAGCGGCATGGGTGCCAGTTCCGACGACACGCGCAAGTACCGCAGGATTTGGCCCGGGTACGGTTCAATGTGTTTCTGGAACTTGAGAAACGCCTTGTCGACACCCGTCTCCGAGTCTTCAGCATCTTCGCCCGGAATGGGTGCTGCGGGCAGTTTGACAAGCGCACCAGGTGCGACATTGTCTTGATCCAAGATTTCGGGTTCAGAGACGAGTTCGAGTTCGGGGAAGATCCACTTGTTCTTGACGAGCTTGGCCATGCGCTCGTCCACCGTCGGTGGCACCTCCACGGTGCCCTTGCACACGCCCGCGTGCATGCCCGCAACCCAATCTGCTTGCTGGTGGGTGCGCGAGCAATACCAGACCTTGCCGCATCCCGCACACCTGCTTGCCGCCTTGCACCCGCACACGGCGCACGTGGGTTTCGCCTTTTCGGCATAAAGTGGCAGCTCAATCGACTCTTCCGTGTCCGGGTCGGTCGCAAACCACGGGTTGTCGAGCGGCAATTGTGCGCGCAACACGCGCGTGCACTTGCGCCAGTCGTGCTTGTGGCAACTTCCACGGCGGCATACGAGCAGGTAGATGTACCGGTGGTACGCCTCGTCGGGAAAGTCTTCGGCCGTGTAGATTTGCATAAGCAGGATGAGCGGGTCGTTGCAGGTGCCGCAGGTGGTGGCGGGCAGAGGGTTGGTTGGGTTGAGGTGCAGCGGGAGGCCGCCGATTTTGGTGGGGAAAGTGTGGATTGCGAGCGGGGTTGTGGCGTGAGGGTTGATGAAGCCGAGCTGGAAGCAGGGCGGGCCATCGTCGGCAAGATGCGAATCGGAGTGGTCCGAGTGGATTTCGGTGATGACGGCCATTTTGTTTTTGTTGGGCTGGTGAGTTGACGTTACTTACATTGAGTGAGGGAGCGTATCGTATTGTATCGTATTGCTTGGAATAAGGTGATGGATTGGGATGCGAGAGTGGGAATGCGTAGGTCGGTAGAGTGTATGACAAAGCACTCAACGTGTGACTGTCTCACGTGAGCGCACGCGAGCCGTCACTGGGGTCTTCCTCTTCAGATGTCAGATGCACTTATCGGCACTTGTCATGGGCCATGGAATCAAGAGATTTACCCGAAAAGTCAAGGATGTGACTTCGGCATGAGTCCTTGTCAAGGATTATCATCGCACCGTAGACCCGCTCAATGCACTTCCATTGCCAAAATCCCCGCTGACTGTTGAAATTGTTTCCTTTTGGACACTTCATTCATAAGCATCCTGAACGACTTTGTCCTCGAAGGTAAGTAGAATCATAGGTCCACTCACCGTCACTCACTCACTCACTCAGTTAACGGTCAGTTGATCTTATTTGAATTCCCACACGCCTTTTGTTGACATTATACATTATACATTTCCCATCGCACACAGATTCACATTCACATTCAGATTCACCACCATGACTCCCCAGCAGCCGCTCCTGCTGCCGACCGTTCCGCAGACAAGAGTGACCATGACAAGAATGCAGAGTCACAACCGCTACTCCTCCCGACCTCGACCTCCCTCTCGATCCCAATCGACCACACCGCCAACCCCAACCCCAACCCCAACCTGGGCACGGCCGACTTGTCCAGTAATGATGGCCTCCACATCCACATCCCCGCCGCCTCCTACAACACCCAGCCTCGATCCGCCTCCTCCTCAAATCGACATCATGCACATGCATCTGCCCGGTCTGCGAGCCCTGCCCGCTCGCTCGCCCTCTCGCAAATGTCTGTGCGCCGCGCGCAACTCACCATGAAGCGATTCATGATTGAGCTCCGCCACACACTGCGCCTGTCACTGCCTTGCGTCGCTTCCTATGTGCTCTCCTACTCGAACCGCATGGTCGTCACCTTCATTGTGGGCCATCTTGGCGCAAACGAACTGGCCGCATCGACGCTGGCCGTCATGTTCTCCAACGTACTCGGCTTTTCCATCTGCTTTGGGCTTTCGTCGGCTCTCGACACGCTCGCCTCACAAGCAGTCACCGGGTCTGCCAACCCACGCCAAGCAGGGATTTACCTGCAACGCGCCATCCTCATCAACTTGCTGCTGGCCATTCCCATTGCCTTCATCTGGCTCTTTGCCGAACCGCTGCTCTTGATCGCTGGCCAAGACGCAACCCTGGCTTCCATGGCAGGCAATTACATCAAAATCATGCTGTTTGCCCTCGTCCCCAACATTGTATCCAACTGCGTGGCCAAGTTTCTCCAAGCACAAGGCATCATGGACGCCCAATTTCTCGTGTCCCTGGGCGTGCTCCCCATCAATGTCACGCTGCAACTGTTTCTCGTCTACTACGACTCACCGCTGCGCCTCGGGTTTTATGGCGCGGCCGTCGGCTCCGTGGTGGCCGATTTCATCAGTGCTGTCGGCGTCATGTGCTATGCGGCGTTTTGGAACGGCCACCAGTGCTGGTCGCCCTGGACGCGCGCGGCCCTTTCCGGCTGGTCCCAGTTTTTGGGCCTGGGCATCCCGGGCATGCTCATGATTTGCGCAGAATGGTGGCTGTTTGAAATCGTGGCCCTGATTGCCGGACTGTTTGGCCCGCAAGCACTCGCCGCGCAATCCGTGCTGCTCAACACTTCGTCCATCTGCTACATGTTCTTTCTTGGCGTGTCTGTCGCTGCGGCCTCGCGCGTCGGCAACTTTCTGGGTGGCGGCATGCCTGTGCGTGCCAAATTCGCCACACAGGTGGCGCTTCTTGTTGCGCTGGTGATTGCCGCCGCAACGTCCATTACCATGGTTGTCCTGCGCAAGGACTGGGCTCGCATGTTCAATGGCGAGCAGCCCGTCATTGACTTGGTGGCATCGGTCCTGCCCATTTGCGCCATCTTCCAGTTTGCCGACGGCGGCGTGTGCGTCACGGGCGGTGTGCTTCGTGGATGTGGCAAGCAGAGTCTTGGCGCGCGGCTGGGGTTGGTGTCGTATTATGTGATTGGCCTGCCGTTGGCGCTGTTTTTCACGTTCACGCTCAACTTGGGGCTGGCAGGGTTGTGGTTGGGATTGGCCGTCACGCAAATCATGTGCTATGGCGTCCAGGTGGCATACATTAGCAAGGGGTTGGATTGGGACGCAGAGTGTCGGGTGGCGCAGGAAAGGGTTAATGAGGTGGGCGGGGCCGTGGTTTTGGATGAGGACGATTTGGAGGTGGAGGATGAGGATGCAGAGTTGCTTTCAGATCGCGCTTGAGTGACTTGACTTTTTGTTTTCCATTTTCATTGGCTAGTTTTTAAACGTACATGTAATTGCCCCACTACGCATTTGTTTTTCATACACCAAGACTGGTCTGCTGCTGCTGCTGCTGTTTTCGCAGCATGCCAACCACTTGACTAACAGAACTCGTAGTCGTCGCCATACTCTTTCTCCTTCCACCAGCAGCTCCCACATCCAACTTTGGGCTCAGAAACACCATCCCACCAACACCCACAAACTTGGCATTGCTCGGCCCACCAGCGCCTCCTCCCACCGAATCCCGCGACCCTCGCCGACTGTTGCCCCCACCCGCTTGTTTCTTGACGGGCATGGGCACTAGAAACGCGTCCGAAAACACTGGTCTGCCCTCGGGCGTCTTGCGTACATCGGGCAGCACGTGCGCAGCGTGCATGAGCGATTTCAGCATCACCACCCCGTTTGGCGCGGTAGATGTCGCGGTGGCCGTGCTGGCACGGTGCAGAATGGCTTGCCTGGCCAGTGTGTCGCTTCCCCTTGACTGACTCGCGCGACTCGCTGCTGCTGCTGCTCCCGTTCCTAGCGGCGGAGACACGGGCCGCAGACTGGCTGCCGACTTGCTTGTCCTTGCCATTGTCGCCGCACACGTCGTTATCAGCACATTCGGCGGCACATTCACGTTTCGTCCACTGCTGCCAAGACTCCCCGTGACATCGTCTCCATGGCCCGCCCCTACAAACGTCGACACAGACCCTTGCGCGGGGGTTAGCACCCTTCCGAGCCGATGCTGCACAGCGAGCACCCAAGGCACGTGCAACCCGTCGGGGACACGTGTTGCCAGAGGCGTGTACGCGCCAGGGCCCAGCGCACTGGGTGTGGATCCAATGGGCGGCGACACGAGCCGTGGGGTGCGCGAGCGGAACGCCGGCGAGCTGATCGGGGGTGGTGGACGCGGTTTAGGTCGCGCGGCAAGTGACGCGCGGCGGCGCAGGGCAAGCGAGGTGAGTTTCTTTGGCTCGGTTGGGTCGGGGAGGAGTGCGTGAGTGACTGAATGTGTGATGA